GCATGTTCAGTAATATGGTTGTGCATGCTCCTTTATAATAATCTCATTTCTTCATCAGAACAGTCACTTGTGTTTTTAGAACACTGATCTGATTCTGAGCTTTCCTTTTAATTCATTTACTGTGCACTTGAGTTTTATGAATTGTGCTGCTGATTTTATTATAACCTGCTTGTGTGTTCTGTTCTACAGCAGTATTAAAGTGTTCAAAAGAAATTCAGTTTGTTTTGTTTTCTTATGAACTTGAGACTAGATTAATTCACTGATACAAGAAATGCTTCAAAAGCTGATTCTTTAATAATAATAAGTTCAGATTGTTTGCAGATGCTGACACACTCAAAGTCATAATTAACACTGCTTGAAATCTTTTAATCAAAAGACTTTAAAAAGGGCAAAGTAAGATGATGTTTAGTATTATGATACAATCTCAGACTAGATGCAAGAATAGAAGAAGAAGAGTCTAATAAACTGTCATACTAGATAAATCTAATTTGAAAATACTAAACATGATGAAGAAAAGAGAGATCTGGAGTGATTATGCAATATATATTTTCTTGCTCTGAGCTCTTGCTCTACTAACAGCAGTCATCTAGAGAATCTGATCACATGTTCTCAAGTCTGATGCTTCTTTACCACTTCACATCAGATTTTAACAGTGTATGAGAGAAGTTGAGTCTAGAACTTTTAAATATGTAGATGACTTGAGACTGAAATTTCAGTACTACAGACATGACAAGATCTGGAATGAAACAGTATGAGATGAGATGGAATGTGGTACAGCTTATTCAGTTTGAAACTGAGTTATAAATATATGAAATCAGAATCCTGTCCCAGTCCCAGTGTTCCATATATATTATCACATGTGTTATATAAAAAGTAATAAAATTTGGTAACAGTCTTAGTATATTTCAATCATTTTGTGATGGTATATCCACATCATCTATATTATATTAATGTTATACCCACATCACTCATATTATATACTAGTGGTGGAATTCAGATTCCAACTCAGTCCTGTCCCTCTTATGAGATGTCTGGAATTTGATATGCAATTCTTATGATGAGACAGTTCTGACTGAGATTACTATCAAATTTGTATGAGATTCTGATTCCATTATCCTGCCAGAATGAGATATGGAATCAGTATGGCTGCTGCTGGGATCAAATCTCAAGCTGAATTCAGAACTGAAATCAACACATATGAAATTTGAAATTCTGTTCCAGTTTTGAGCACCACTCTAAATTGAGCACTATTTCATTGTCCACAAAAGTCTTTGAGATTATAATCATGAACTTCATCATGAAACTACTTTCATCTTCATGAAAAGATCAAATTTATAATGCCATCTTAGTTATAGTCAACATTCTCATCAAGTTCACAATCTATTTATCATACAAAAAAAATATTACTGCAGAGCAACTTGCAGAATTGTGCTATAAGAAAATTTAATTATATATAAAACATCTCAACATATAATTTCTAACTGAGAATTACTGTTCACAATCAAATACTGCTCACTTCTATTGTTATAAATCTTGCAGCACAGCACAGGATCATCACACACCATTGAAAGAGTGTATAAAGAATGCAATCAGAAAGTGAAGCATGGTGAGACTACAAGAATTACAGACTGAAAGAACTAGGACTCAAGCAGATGAAAGTCACATGACTGAATAGTCATGAATAGATAGAACAGTGAGCAACTGATCATAACTATTCAGACTAGATGAGCAGAATAGAAGAACAAGATGAAGAACTATTCAGAACTATTCATCATACTCATTATATATATAAGAGCACTCTTTACTGTTGATCAGATGGATTCATTCATCATGATCAATCTTCTCTCTTACAATTTATCTATACAGATATTATCATATCTTGATTACTTTTTATATCAATGAAGTTCTGTAATACTGTACAATTGTATCTGCTCTTGCTATTCTTGAGGAGACATGATGATCTTGATTTAACTCTGACATATCTGTACAAAAACTCTTTGTCATTGAACAAGTTCATCAACTCAAGATCAAGCATCATTGGAGTATTAATCACTAAAGCTTGAATTTATTATGTTGGACAACAAGTTCAATAACAATCATGCTACAGCTGTCACAGTGCATGCTTTAACAGATGCATTTCTCTTTCTAGTGACAAATGACTATGAGTCATGAACATCTTTCAACTGACAGTCTTTATCAGACAGAGCATCACACACTGAGCACTTAAATCATCAAAAGACACAGGACCAAGTGCAGGCTTTTGAGAAAGTATAAAAATTCACACAGCAGAGAGTGTGAAAGACTCAGAAAATAATGAAGAAACAGATTAATTATTATTATCAGAAGCTTAACTTTAAGATAGAAGATCAGATCTACTTAACTCTACACAATTATTCAGTAGACTGCTCAAGCAGAAAACTGACAGAGCAGAATGCTGGACTCTTTTCAGTGATGAAGAAGATAGAGAACAGCTATCATTTGAAATTATTCTCAAATATAAAGATACACTCTGTATTCTCTTCAGACAAACTTCATCAAGCAGCAATAAATTCTTTATCAGAATAAGAGTATGAGAAGTCAGAGTCATTAATCATTACTGAAAAAAATAAATAAGAGATGAAGCAAATTCTGACAAGCTGAATTCATCAGAGAAAGCTGCAGTATCAAGTCAAATAATTGAGATATAATCATGACCCACAGTGATATCCAGTGTGGAATTTTAAGAGCTCATTACATCAGTTAAAAAATTATCACAAGAGCAACTCACAGAAATCAGGATCCCCAAAATGACTGGTGGAATGACTGAAGGCATGAGAGAGTGAGGAAAATATATCAGAACATGCAGATGATAACTTGTCAAGAGCATGAAATAAAAAGATCTACAATCAGAGTGTCTGGCATGAGAATATATCTGAGTTTTCTAGAGGAGTAATATTAGAGTCTGATGTGAAGTGATAAAGAAGCATCAGACTCAGAGATATATAATCAGATTTTTCAGACAACTGTCATTAGTAGAACAAGAGCTCAGAGCAAGAGAGTATATATTGCACAATCACTCCAGACCCCTCTTTCCTTCACCATGTTTAGTATTTTCAAATTAGATCTATCTAGTATGACAGTTTATTAGATTCTTCTTCTTCTATTCTTGCACCTAGCCTGAGGTTGTATCAATGTCAGACTTTAACACTAGACTTTTTAAATCTTAATAGCATACATCTCACTTGTATATAATTTACCCAACACTGCTCTCATTCTTACACAGGTCAGCAATGAGCTTTATTTATTTATAGCATATATTATACATCTGCTTTCACCACATATTTCTTCATATTCTTTAGACTAGTAGCTCATTTCTGTTTTAATTATACATCTATTAGATCTAGCTCCTCACACTCATTCTCTTTCATACTATTTGACTATAGTAATTTGAACTTTGCTGCAGATGTTGAAAATAGATAATCAGTTTCTGAATACACATTCATGTTAAACAGCATTTTGATGATTTGAAAGGTCAAACAGCAGTCTCTAGTATCTTATTTTATACATAATATCAAATATATTGATTTAGCAAATGCTATCTACAAGCTAAACTGAATCTGACAAATTCTAGTGACAATTCTATCTGACTATATTGAATTAAATATAAATACTCTTCTGCTGAATACTATATACAGAAATAATCAAGATGCTATTCACTCAGCAAACACATTCTCTAATACTGCTGGCTCAAGCAGATTAAAGTATACTAATAGTAGATTTTATATTATAAGAAAAGCAATAGCAAATGATCAAGTTAGACTTGAATATGTTCAAACAGACAATATGACAGCAAATATTCTTATAAAGACTCTATTGAGAGATAAGCATTGAAAGCATGTGAAAGTATTAGATTTAAAGAGATAAAACAAAGTTTTTAAGAATTTGAAAGATTTTTCAGTCTTCTCAGTCTGAATCTAACTCTCTTATATTATAGAATGACAGTCATCTAGCTGATTAAGATAAAGTTTTCCCACAAGATTTCATTTTGAAGAGATTTTTTCATGGGGTTTTCACTCAATCTGCAGGTAAATAGATTTTCTATTTTGGAAAATGTTTTCAGATTCTCCTGTAGTAGATCTGAGAGTGAGTGGAAGTGTTGGTGTGCTGTGTTAACTCTTTCAGATTTAGCATTACATGTGATGGGCTTGGTGCTCTTGGTGTTCTTGGTCTTTAGTTTCTTCAATGGGATTCTGACCCCCTTGCTTAGCTAGAGTCTCGAACCTCTGTCCTTGTAGCAAATAACAACAACATTGTGATTCACTTGCCCCAACAATACCCCCTTTTGTTCAAGAAAAGAGGGGTACATGCCCGTGATTCACCCAGCCGGATTTCTTGGGGGAAAAAAAAATCTGCCAAGCATCGGTTCTACCAATATGCATACCCAATACATGGATGCCGGATGCATTCGGGGCCAGGAGGAGGCGTCCTATCAGGATCTACTGCCGCAGCTACCACTATGCTCATTGAAATGGGAGGAGGCGCCTTATAACTTCTCACAGGCCAGGCAGGAAGCCAACAACGCAAAGACTCGAATAATGAAGTGGTGGAGCCTTAAGGGTCGCTAATATATCAGTGTCCAGCATTATTAGCCTCGTCGACACTCATTTCACGCCTATTCGGGAAACCAGAAAAGCGACGAAACGCCATGAACTTGCCAAATTCTCCAGTTGAAATAATCCTTCAAATCTCAAACTACCTTACCTATGCCTCCCGCTTTGCCCTCACCCTCACGTGCAAAGAGATCTATTTCAAGACGACAGACCCTAATCAGCTGGTACCTTCTGCTAGATTGACGACCATTATGCCAAATACCAAGGCGTACGACATAGAAGACCTCCTCGAGATCGAAAGATGGCCAGTCTATACCACATTTGATCACGGGCTGCGTGAACTAAATTGTTTCGCCTGTCACCTCTGCCTAAAAATCCGCTCTGCTGGTCAGTTCTCAAACGCCATGATGAAGGGTAAACGTGGAAAGTTCGGTGGGCTTTCGGCCGACCGCTTTTGTATAGACTGTGGAGTTTATTATAAGCGCTACGCCCGAGGGACAACGATGAGATTCGGGGGAGTGTGCGGAGGGGTCGGGTCCGTTTGCCAACGCTGTGGTAGATTTAGAGCTCATATCGGCGTCGCCCAGAACACACAGAAGTGCATGTGCTCCTCTGGCTTCGACTTTGAGACAATGTATTCAGACCCCTTTGAAATTTCCGAGGATTGTGGGGACTGGCGAGACATTCTCATGTAACTAAGAGCACTTGTAGAGCGCCCAGGATGGATAGGGATGAAATGTTGATTTTTTAATTTTGGGTTGCTGTATTATTTTGCATTGTTGCATCGTTTTGGATCATGGCATTGTGGTGGAATTTTGTACCTCACACGGGAGCCAGGTGTTGCCCATTTTATGCAAACGAACCACTTTCTCAACATTGAAACATCAAGGTTTGCGGCACGGCCCGAAGAGTGAGATCCAGAAAGCAGCAAAGGGCGGAAGGAGGGGCAACAAGGCTCCGTAATGACCAACATTGGTACTACCGTAGTGCCCAGTTAACAGGCCGTCGTACTCAGATGCATTCGGAACGGGGAGCAGGGCACCCTATCAACCCCCACCACGCAGCAACCATATAAACTAGGAGGTTTTATAAAGGCAATGCCCGAATCTTGAAGTTCGTAAACAGCGTGGCAATTCCCTGGCAGCAAACACTTATCTTTCAACCCGCTTAGTCTTAGTATTTATGATCCAGAGTCACCATTTATCCCAGAGAGGTTCCGCTGTATAATAACTACGCACCTTGCTCCATTTACGTGTTGTCCAAGTCGAAACATAATGGTCATGAAACACTTTACCACAAATGCCCTTGAAGGGTTATGCTCGGAAGATCAGCTAGATCTCCTAAATTCTATCGATACTCTCCGTTCACAGGGAATTAGTCACTACATTTCGCTACCGCAGATTATTGTCTGCGGCGATCAGTCATCAGGCAAAAGCTCGGTGCTCGAGGCCATTTCTGGCGTTGCCTTTCCGGTCAAGAGCAACCTCTGCACTCGGTTCCCAACTGAACTCGTGCTACGCAAGTCTCCAGAGGTTCACGTGAGCGTGTCGATTGTTCCTCACCGGTCCCGCAGCGAATCCGAACAACACTCACTTGAAAGCTTTCGAGAAGATCTCGATAGCTTTGAAGGGCTTCCGGAACTTATTGAAAATGTCAAGACGGCCTTGGGTATCTCAACACACGGGAGAGCCTTTTCAAATGACATACTTCGCATAGAGATTTCGGGGCCAGACCGCCCCCACCTCACCATCGTTGATCTACCGGGCCTCATCCACTCGGAGACAAAGCAGCAGTCAGCGTCCGATGTTGACTTAGTTCAGGATGTGGTCCAAGCCTATATGAGGGAACCACGAAGCATTATTCTCGCTGTAATATCTGCCAAGAACGATATCGCCAACCAGATTGTGCTGAAGCTCGCCCGTGGAGCCGACAGGTTTGGCCGTCGGACGCTTGGTGTAATTACAAAGCCTGATACCTTGATCCCCGGATCAGCGACGGAATCTATTTTTGTTTCTCTCGCGAAGAACCAAGAAGTTGACTTTCGGCTCGGGTGGCATGTCCTGAAAAACATGGACTCCGAGAAGGGAATCTCAACTCTGGCCGATCGTGATGTCGAAGAAAGGCAGTTCTTCTCGCAAGGAGTTTGGAAAGACATCGCCCCATCGACCATGGGCATTGCCAGACTGCGAGGGAGGCTCAGCAAAGTCCTTCTTGGACAAATTGCCACCGAGCTGCCTAGCCTTGTTGGTGAAATCAAAGTACAAATCGAGGCCTGCTGCGGGAAATTAGAAAGGTTAGGTGAGCCACGGGCAACCTTGCACGACCAGCGACTCTATTTGTTCCACATTAGCCAAGCTTTTCAGTCTCTTGCCAAAGCTGCTGTTGATGGTACGTACAACGAGCCTTTTTTTGAAGGCATTGACTCGAGTATGGGGTATCCAAAACGTATGCGCGCCGTCGTGCAGAACCTCAACCAAAACTTCGCCGATACAATCAGTCGACATGGCCATTATCGCCATATCTCAGAGGACGGGGGCGGGAAGCGCCTGACCAAACACCAGATTAGTATTACACGCGAGGCATTCCTTGGCTACATAGAATCTCTCTTGAAGATATCTAGGGGTAGAGAGCTACCTGGAACCTTTAATTCAATGATTGTGAAGGATTTATTCTTCGAGCAATCTGCTCCATGGGAGAAAATTGCTCAAAACCATGTAAAGGAGGTTTGGACGGCAGCGAAGGAATTTCTACACCTTGCGATTGCCCATATTGCGGATACTGGAACCGCCAAAGCCTTGTTCCAAACCACATTTGAGCCCGCTTTGGAGCAGCTCTTAAATAAATTACGGGACAAGACCAGTGAGCTCCTGATACCACACCGAGAGTGGCACCCAATTACCTACAATCACTACTTCATGGAAACTTATCAAAAAATTCAAAAGGAGCGTCGGAGAGAAGATTATTCTACGGTTATAAAGAAGTTCTTCGATGCTCCGGACCTTCACACAGAAGTTAACATAGGTTATCGGAATGACCTCCACCATTTACTAGACTCTCTTGTTGGGCGTACCGAGCTGGACATGAGCCGTTACGCTTCTATCGAAGCTCTGGATTGTATGGTTGCATATTACAAGGTGATTCATCTAGCCGCGGTAAATTAGCCATCCACTAACCAAGTATAGGTTGCGCTAAAGCGATTCATTGATGACATCGCGATTGAGGCCGTTGAGGGGAAGCTTATATCACTCTTGGGTAGTATATTTACTTCGGTCGCAGTGTTTGAGATGCCCGATACTGTCGTTACGCAAATTGCGGGCGAGTCTGAAGAAAATAAAACCGAACGGGACCAATTGAATAAACAACTAGATATTCTCACGAGAGGGTCTGCTACCTGCAAGCGGTTCATTGGAGATGACAGTTTCGGTACGTGCATAACCTCAATAAGTTGAAGTTCAAAGGGAGCTGATACAATTATTAGAAAGCAAAAGTGGACATCAAGCTAGCATCCAGTCCGACGCAGCGGATTCTCCATTGGACGGCAGCGAACCATCGACTGCATTGTCTATAGAATGTGCCAGCTCATCGGTCAGAGATAATGCATATGACGAAATTCCATTCCCCGAGCCCGTTGCCGAATTAGAGCTGGAACCTCCCGCAGAGCCTGAGGTTTATGAATTGCCGCCTGAGAAGCTGTCGAAAAAAACGAAAAAGAAAGGGTCCCAGAAAAAATACAATAGCTTTTGGAGGGAAGTAGACTAGGACCACCAACTTTTGCTTCCACCCAGCCAACCAGATCCCTCACGTAAATTAGTTACGTGGCCTTACTAGAGAAGCAATCTAATTTTATTTTCAGTTTGGAACAGCATTAATACCATCAAGCTAATCTGAAGATAATGCCCAAGCATATGGTAAGCCCCTATGGGTTCCATAAATACACTCCATAACAACATAAACATTCTCAGCTGTCTCGATCGTCCGCTTGATGCTGGGTGCGTTGATCCCAAGGAGTGTTGCAAGTATTAGAGGGAAAACACTCTCGCTTGAAGAGACCTTGGATGACACTACCGATCCTTTGGTGATCGACTGGTCAACGTAGACCCACGACAGGGCTAACACTTTCTACTGCAGGGGGAAGAATTCATTATTGTTCAACACCTTGAAGCCACGGGTGTTTGGTTACCTGGCCAGCAGGAAGACGTTTCTCCGGCGAAAACTGAAGAAGTTTAAACAGTAAATCCTCAAGCTCGCTGGCCTCAGCTTACGTCAAGCGCGTCCCCAGCCGTTCAAGCCAGCTATGTGTCGAGTAGAAGTCCAGATCAACCTGTCCGTCTTCCGCCCCAATATCCCTAACCTGCTGGTCCAGTGAATACTCCACTGCCAGTGGTATTCCATTCGGCCATGAATCCCTCGGCTTTCCATCATCGTTGTTGAAATAAGTCTGGCGCGTTGTCCAGGTACTCCACCAGGGTTCCGGTAATTTTCCAAACGTCTGGACGATTTGCCGAAGTATCTCGTCTGGTCCGCCAAAAAAGGAAGCAAACAGCTGTGTCCCGGCGCGGATTTCGTAGATGATGCATCCCAGCGCCCAGAGATCGGTCCATACGCTAGCCTTAGCATCAAATATCCCCTCAGGAGCAAGATACGAGAATGGTGTCCTGGCCCCCGTGGCCGGGGGGAAATTTAATAGAAAAGATTCCCCGAAATCGATCAGTTGAATGTTCCCGGTGAAATGGCGGGTGTCAAGGTCCGAGATCCGAAGGGGCGCGATCAAAAGTTCCGGCGCGCAAACGCTCTGTTCTGCAGAAAGGGGGCGTAGACTTTCTGTGACTGGAGGCCCGAATTGCTTTGCTATATCTTGATCTGACCATTTGACATCGGCCAGCTGGAAAAGAATGTTTGATGCGGTGAGGTCTGTAGCATATGGGGGTCAGTTCATGCACTCGTAGGATAATGGTGGATTAGTAGTAATAGATACCTCCATAAACGACACCCTGAGAGTGTAAAAATTCTACAGCCAGCCCTAGCTGTTTTGCAATTTGGCGTGCGGCATGGCCTCGCAGGCGGCGACATCCTCCAGGCTGGCCGGGTGATTCTGATAGTTGACTTAAACTTGGGCCAGCAAACCGTGATACAAGGCAGGTATGACGGCCATTAGGCCCCTCTGTGTGAAAGCAATCATGCAGTGGCAAGATGTATTCATGACCCGATGTGTGAGATGGTTTGTTTTGAAGAAGGATTTCAGGTTCGGGGCAAGTGTTTGATCTCTCCGCCGTAAGAATTTTTAGGGATACAAGTCGTTGCGATTGTTCATCCCGGGCCAACCACACAGTTGAGCTTCCTCCGAAGCCTAATTTGTGCAGCACGCGGTATCTTCCATGAGAAAAAGCATCGCCCAGTTGGACAGGGTGAAATCCACCCCTTCGATAGTTCTCAACATCCTCAATATTATCGATGGAAGGGGGTTGATACGCCAATTGAGCAGTACTCAAGTTGCGAGTGATGAAGCTCTGGAGTAATTCACGGGATATTCGCGGCGAGGCGTTCAATAGCCGTTGTGTGTGAATGAGCTGGAAATGAATCAAATGTGATGAGGGAGCGATCATGATGAAGAAGAAGAGGAGAAAGAAGAAGAGCTACATGGTAATAGCTCCAAGGCACAGAAGGGGCAAGCATTGAACAGAGTACAGTGCTACAAAAACTGCAGATATTCAGCGTTTATATATGTAACTTCATATACGGAGTAGGTGTATTTCAATTCCTACATTCCCGCCTGGAAGCCCTCTTAACTTTTACGCCCCAATCTCTTCTGTTCTTCAAATGGCTTTTATTATCTTCCATGTCGGAGTCCACTTTGCCAGAATGCCATCGACGCAACTATCACATCTGGCTTTATACTTCCTCTGCATTCAGCAGAACGAAACCGACTCCCACGGCTCAAATAATATTACGCTTGAATGCCCAGAATGACACCCTGCCATCTCCTTTATGTTACGTGTGGTTTTGAAGGCGGGGTGGCAGCTTGTTCAAAAAACAGAAGAAAAAAAAAAGAAATCTTGTCATGTTGCACCAACCGTGAATCGAACACGGGCAGCTTGCTTGGAAGGCAAGCGTCATACCACTAGACCATTGGAGCGATCTTATCAGTAAGTAAGTCTAATACATACATAAGCTAATTTACTCTCCGTCGATTCTCGAGATAGAACCTGCTCCATAACCTCTAAGTGCTCCGTGTTCTATTAAACAGGATATTCAAATGCCATTATGTTGTATAGTGCTCTCGTAATATACAATACTATATATCTATCTTATATAGTCATGTCGAGCTTCCCCGACAGGTGTAGTTATAGAGACGGCCGATGAACTAGTGTATGCAAAACCCAGAACGCATTCCTTCATCAACCCAAAAAGCCAACCAAATCCTCAAACTCCGCAAGGAGGAACACCGAATCCAAAAAAAGAAAGTAAAAAATTAATTACCATTCAAAGTCACAATGCCATACTTTTCATCAAGTTCATCCTGAGCGTTCCGCCATTTGCGGCCCCTGTCGCTGATCTGCCACAGTTTTCGCGAGTAATGACTTCCCTCAGGATCAGTCGGCAAGTACTGTTTTTCCCGACGTCTCTTGCACGCTTCTAACAATGCGCGTGCACGGTTCTCGGGTAACGTGGTGAGTGAGTAGTCAACAAGCCATCTTTGGTCCTTCTTCAGATTGTTGGGTCGGGTGACTATCTCGCCATCCACGACATTGCAGATACGCAACGTCATGCCCAATACCGGTTTGGAGCGGGCGTTCTCTGAGTCCGATTCAGTGGGCTTGTCAGGTTCGGAAGACTCGGCTGGGTAGGCCGCTGCTTCTTCCGATGGAGATGGCTCCACGTTAGCGGCTTCGGCATCCTCTTGGTATCGCTCGGGATAAAGAAGCCGGTCCTGGATCTTCTCGATTTTCTCTTTATTGCTATTTTGTATCGCATCGATTTCATCCTCCGTCACGGGCTCAGCAAAAATGTACATAAACGGAGTCACACCTTCGCGGCACTCGAAGTGAAATCGAAGCGACTGTTCCGGGAATTGAGCAATGGCTCGGTTCAGGACCTGATTCCAGAGTCTGACGCTGTGCACAAATTCCGTGTCTCCCAGCACCGTGTCTGACTGACCATGCAGCACCATATCCATGTCCTCAAGGGGCAGGTACTGGAATCCAAAGATGCGCTGGATGTTATGGAATGCAACAAATATCCCATCCATGCGGCCGACCCGGACTTGGAGGGAGTATTTCAAAAAGGCGGAGCGAGCCATGTCAAACCATTCTCGTTCAAACGACTCGAAATCTCCAAACCGGCTTTTAATCTCATATCCTAGCCCTTTAGGGAAATTCTCAATATCCATACGAATCGAGACCACAGCACGGGTTTTCAAATCAAACATGCCAGTTCCGGGAAGACGTGAATCATGCGCGTCTAGCTGGGCCCTCATCAGAAAGTCACCACAAGTTGAGTAGTGATATGTTTCCGGAGCTGCTTCACCCAAAGGGGTCCGGTTGGCGTTTGTTCTCCGGTACCGCTCAAATTCATCCATCGGCATTGTAAGCAGCTTTTCCATTGATTTACCAAGATTCATCAAGATATTGGCTGTATCATATTCTTTGTCGGCATCAATGGCATAGACCCCATCCTTGTACCGCAGGAATACTGCGGCTGGAGCTCTTGTGAGGCGCGTAAAAGAGCGGAGTCGATCAGGAAACCCCTGGGATAGGGCCTGCATCTGAAGAGGTCGCCAAGCGGAAAGAAGGAAATGAAAATGCGAAAGAACGCCTGTCATACTCGATGATGATCCAATATATTTCTTTCCATGGTCTCGGGCCATATTTCGAAGAACAACGTCGCGAGAACTCGTGATGTAGTCACCCAGAGCCTCGAAATCAAATTCAGACACCGGCATTATAGAGCTAAGGTAGGGGTCGAAATTGTAGACGCGTGACCTCGGGTCTCTAAGATGGTAAACCCCTGGGCTATCAAAGGTTAGTGGCGCCTAGGGGTCCGGTAATAGGTGAACCTTCCAATGACTTACTTGAAGAGCACTCGATCAAGGCCATAGGCGAGACTAGGTACGGCTTCCGATTCCACATTCAAAGCTAGACGGGAATTAGTGACGCAAATTCAGCCAGCCTTGACAGTCGACTGCAGGATATTCACCTTCTATCTGCTCCTCCGAGGGTTCCAAAATGCCAGACGCCGCCTCCAAGTCTCCTGCGTGAACGTGGCGGAACTCATCATGCTTCTCCGGCTCGGAATTGGACGTCGATTCCGCGACTGGAGGAGGGGGTGCAAAGCTTTTTGACGGAAAGGTTTTTCGGATCAATTTTGACTTGACTTTTCTTGGGGTTATAGTTGCCTTTGAAGTCGGCTCCTCAGGTCCATTGCGGCCCTTTTTAGATTTCCTCTTCTTCTTAGTCGTGGAGATCTGGAAATGGGCCATGCACGTTAGCCAGCTACCTTGAAAGTATCCTGAAGAAGTAGAGCAACTCGAATGGTGTTGGAGGGCTGGATTTGACTCACATGCTGAGGGCCCGCACTCTCATGGACAGACGGGTCCGCTGTAGAAGGTACCTCGGACTGCGCCTTTTGCAACTTCAAAGGTACTGCACCAAGCGGGAAATGCGGTTTCTGGTCGAGGTCCGATTTAGAATCTGTTACAGCGTCGTGGCGAGTGCTCGATGCGGTGAATGAGCGCTCAAAGGTCCTCGATACACAAAAGAGGCAGACATATGAACGGGACGGCCTCGCAGCGATTTGGAGAGACCTGCTAAACATATTGGCGGAAACGCGGAGATGAAAGTGACGAAACGCTCACAGTAAAGTAGTCAAAAGAATACAGCAAAGCGCGAAGAGAGAAGAAAGAAGAAAAGACAAAAGCTTTGCACAACAAGAGCGGATCTTCTCAAGCAACGCCCCCTTTTCAATTGAATTGCTGAGGGTGAGTTCTGGCGCTGCGATGCTCTCTGGATGCGTCGATGGGAATCTTTTTTCGCGCTTCTCAGCAATGCCAAGGCCGGCTCTAGCTGTTTTGGGGGTAGCCTGCCCCTAGCGCAATGCTTAGCTAATATCAAAAACCTTAATTGAAGATAAGCGGACCGATAATAATCCGAGAAGCTGTCGTACACGGCGTTACGGCGTACTGTCACTTTTGATGAGAACAGCGAAGCGACGGCTCATGGAAACAGACAAACAAACAAATGCAAAATAGCAAAATAATAGATGTAACAATCTGTAAAAGATCTCAAATATATTGGGCGGCCCCTATCTAAAATAAGTACCAAGAGGTCCGCTAATGCTGAGCCTACCTTTAAATACACTCATGGTACGGCCGTCGGTAACGCGATACCTCAGCGGGAAAAGTCTAAAAAATTCACGATAAGAGCTCTCAGTCATCCCACCTTGACAGCAAAGGCATATTCACAAAGTGCATCTGAAGGCAGACTCTTGCTGTTCGGCCCCGAGTGTTGAATTCTGTGGAAGCGCAATGTGAGTCTGGCT